CGGAGGTCCGGATAGCGTAACTGGCAACGCATCTGCACGGTAAGCAGGAGTTGTGGGTTCGAGTCCCGCTCCGGGCCGATTTTTTCTCCCAGCGGTTCCAAATTATTTAAATTAATTAATATATTTATAATTATTAATTTTAATAAGAGATGGCGCCTAACGCTTACCTCTAGTGCCAAATTAATTACGTAATTTATTTAGAATTTAGCATTAAAAATAGCCCGATTAATTTACGGCATTCGGTTGGTGTCTTATTATATTGGATATCGGGTTTGGAGATGTTTATTTAAGCAACCTTTATCCTTATATTCTTCTGAGAAACTTCTAAAATAATGAAGCAAATTGCTATAAGGTACCTGAATTGTTCCTCTAAATCCTGGCTTGTTGACTCGAAATTCATTGACCACCATCCAGAAAACTTGTGTCTTTAGCTCTGATTAATTTATCACTGATCACTAAAAAATATTTTCTCTTCTTAGCCTTCACTAGATTCTGGTATACTCTCTTACTATCTAAATACATCTTCAATGATTCTCCAGTATTAACCTTTCTGAATCTTTGTAATTGTTTTTGCTTTTTTGATTTATAAAAATAACACTTTTTATCAAACCATTTGTGCTTAAACTTGGCCAAATTTATTCCTGAACATCTCTTAAAACGATAACTGTCTAAAATTGCTATTAAATGATTATAATTTTCGATCAAATTCTTTTCTCTTTCATGAGACTCCAAGGCATCTATATTATTAGATATTTCATTAATGAATTTAGATTTGTTATACATCTTCTTTGCTTCCTTGTTACATTCTTGATTAACACTATCTCTTCTATTCAGTTCTTCAACATTTCTTCTCAATACTAGTCAGATCGGAAAATGGTCCGATACATCTAAGTCTAATACAGACATCCTCTGACACTGGTCTAGAAGAAATTCAGAACAAACAATGTAGTCTATAATTGACTTCCCCAATGGAGATACAAATGAATACTCAGCAGGGATGTCCCCTTTGACTCTACCATTTAGTATATAAAACTCACATTCCTGCGCAAATTCCAAAAGACTTCTACTGTCCATATTTACAATTTTGTCTTTGGATGTTCTATCATTAATAATGATTGTATTCTTTTGTTTACATTTTGAGTCCATTTTCTCACCAATCCGTGCGTTGAAATCGCCTCCCAATATCCATAGATTTACAACACTTGGCCACTGTTCTATGTATCTTTTTACTTCCTTTAATATCCACTTTTTATCTAATAAAGGGGCCAAATAGATTAAAATAACTCCCAAGTATGATTCTCCCCAATACATTTTGGTTCTTTGGTCCAGGCCTATCACCGCACAAATAAAATTGTCTTTTATATAATAATTGAAAAGTTCTCCAACGTTTTTCTTAACTATCAACACCAGTCCACCAGATGGGCAACCCCATTCTTCTTATTCTCTGTGCACCACTAAACAACATCATATTCTCCAGGTCTCTGAGAATCCAATTATTGAATGAGATTTTATATAATTTACCCTGCAACCCCTGAATGTTCCAAAAACTTATAAGAAGATTCCCTCTGTCATTGACAGTGAACCTTGCAGGCAAATTATCATCCTCATCCTTATCTACCCGATTCTTTAATTTCATCTTGATAAACTGACCTTCCTTTGAAATATTTTGGATTATCTCCATATTACGGCTATAATAACTTTTAACACCTTCTTCATCTAAGTTTATAGTCACATTCCTCATAAAAAAATAGTCTATTTTGATAATCTTATTTGTGTTAATGTCATACATATATATCAATTTGTCCTTTATATAGTAATAATCTCTGATTATAATTTTGTTCTTGTTTAATTTTTCCTGTTTTATTTTACTCTGTAAATATTTCCTCCTTAGCCTTGAACGTTTACATAAATCAGCTGTAAATATGGTTTTTTTCATTTCCTCCCCAACTAACAAGGAGAGCCTACGGCTTTGGGGTAACGGATTTTGATGATCTTTGGTGTAGAGGTAGTACACCATGTGAGTGTACTACCTGTAAAATACTAAAGTGCAATACTCAAATATAATCGAGAAAATCGAACTTAAAGTTTTGTTAGCACTTTATATATAAATTATACGTATTTCTATTCGAGCGTCCTGTGGCAGAGTGGTAACGAGTCTGATTCATAAGCTTGAGTTCTCGGGTTCGATTCTCGCGTATAATTTTTTTTTTAATTCATAAATACTTATAATGTATTTATTTATTTACTCATTCATTTATTTCTTATTATTTATTTATTTTAATTTAATTTCTACTATTCCAAGTCTAATATTTTTATACTTTTGTTGACAATAACGGCGCATTCTTGACACCTATGTGTCAACTTTCCCATCTAATTGTTATCACTAACGGTGACCGATCTAATTCTCACTAGGAGCGTTTTTTCTATCGGAGTTCTTTTTCACTCACTCTTTAACAGTTCGTTTCTAAATTTCGACACGAATAGACGTATTTGTGTAGTAAAACTTATTTTGAAAAATTATTTTATAATCGAAAAATGTCGTCAAGAGAAGCAAGTTCTTCACGTTGTGACGAAAAAACTGTTGATGATACCTTTTAAAAAAGCAGCATTTATTTGTTGTTCTTGGTGTAGACAGAATTTTTGTTTTGAATGTTTTTATCATAAGTATCATTCACGATCATGTACATCTGACAATGATATGTAATTATATAATATTGCTTCAATAAATTATATTCGTTTTTCTTGGTTATATTTGAGTTTTGCACTTTACAAGTTAGTATTTTACATCACTGTATAAAGAGTTATCATCAACAGTTTTTTCGTCACAACGTGAAGAACTTGCTTCTCTTGACGACATTTTTTGATTATAAAATAATTTTTCAAAATAAGTTTTACTACACAAATACGTCTATTCGTGTCGAAATTTAGAAACGGACTGTTAAAGAGTGAGTGAAAAAAAAAACTCCGATAGAAAACGCTCCTAGTGAGAATTAGATCAGTCATCGTTAGTGATAACAATTAGATGGGAAAGTTGACATATAGGTGTCAAGAATGCGCAGTTATTGTCAACAAAAGTATAAAAATATTAGACTTGGAATAGTAGAAATTAAATTAAAATAAATAAATAATAAGAAGTAGATGAATGAGTAAATAAATAAATACATTATAAGTATTTATGAATTAAAAAAAAAAAATTATACGCAAGAATCAAACCCGAGAACTCAAGCTTATGAATCAGACTCGTTACCACTCTGCCACAGGACGCTCAAATAAAAATACGTATAATTTATATATAAAGAGCTAAAAAACTTTAAGTTCGATTTTCTCGATTATATTTGAGTATTGCACTTTAGTATTTTACAGGTAGTACACTCACATGGTGTACTACCTCTACACCAAAGATCATCAAAATCCGTTACCCCAAAGCCGTAGGCTCTCCTTGTAAGTTGGATTTTGTATGCCAGAATTCTCTTAGAATTTTATTTCTTATATTAACAGATTCAAGAATTATTTTTACCATAGGTTCCTTTTCTCTATTACTTAATTTAACTAAACCTTCTATTTCAATATTTTTTAATTTTAACTCCTTATTAATGAATAAATTAATCTCTTGCAAATAATCCACTGATTTGAACGGAAAGTTTATAATTATTATATTCATATTAGTTCTCTCATTTACTAGTTTGTCTAATTCAAATTCAAACATACCTTGGAGGTAATCATTATTCTCTGATTTTTCTTCCAATTTGTTAAGCTTTTGATTAATTTCCTTCATTCCTTCTTTATAATACTTATTTTCTTCTTTCAATGCATATACCTCTGATTTAATCATTTGGATCTCAATATTTAGTTGATTAAACTTATCCTGGATTAACTCATAAATAGATTTTAAGGTATATTGAGATTCGACCATTCCTTGCAATTCCGACACCTCCACTGGCTCGAAGTAATCATGAATTTTCGGTTTCTTTACTGACTCGGCTATTTGTTGACTATTTTCTTCTATTGGATAATAATCCTTGCTTAAAATTTCTACTAGTTGATTTTCTTCCTCTCCTTCCCTGGAACTTTCCTTGCGAGGTCTGCCCTGTCCCCTTTTTTGCATATCCGATTGATCTAATCTTTGAGGGGATCAGGGCAACGGTCCTGGATTAGATTCAATTCCCAAAATAATTAGTGGTATTGCAATTAAAACCAATGCCAACTTATTGTCGAATTTCCGAATCTCCACGCTATTCATTATACTTCTAAATATCATTTACTTATTCCTATCTACCAACTCTCAACACTTCTCCAAAATGTTCACTCACACCTTAGGCAGTCAGCTCACACCCCCTACTGAAACTATCAAACTACTACACACTCTACAATTAAACTCGTACTGGTAATTTTACAGATAAACACGAATGTCGGCCTCACGGGTGGACCGATCTAAGATAGTAATCGCTCGATAAACACGCCGCTCTGAAGGAGCAGGTTAACCAGGCGGCAACTAAATATACGAAGCCGTACAGTTTAACGACGTGGAAAAATCAAAACGAGCCGTTATAGACAGAGCGAGAGAGAGTTCACCGGGTTTCCATACCTCTAGAGAGAGAGTTCCCCAACGAATATTGATAATCTAGAGGCACTAATATATGAGTTCCTGGAAACGATGTATAATCCACTTTGGGCACTAAATAACTACAGTTGCAACTTAAGCGCGGACTGGAGATAGATCTACAAAGATCAGAATACGTCATATTTGGAGGATTGGGCCGATGTCGTTAGTCCTGCGTTCGTTAAGCGACTCCCCCAAGAGGGGGTAGGAACGGCCTTTTATAGGGGTTTGTGGTGAATTTCCATCACGTGATCAGATGTTCATAGGTTAAAGGTTATAGGTGTTCCAGGGACCTAAATAGATGGCGAAATTTGGATGCTAACTGTCAACCTTTTTGCAAGATGACATGCAAGTTCTGCAAAGAACAATGGATGTTGCTAGTTATGACTGGAAAGTTTACACAAGCCCGGCTAAGATCATTTTTTATTCTAGGGCGTTACATAAACAAAAGTTTAATTAAACTTTTAGTTAATTAAAGGGCGGTATGTTTGTCACCAAAAATTCCGGATCTCACAGTAACATATATATCTTTTTTTATTTATATGTGTATCTTAAGGCCAGTTTTTGCACTAATGCTGCCAATGCACCATTTGAGCAAAAAAAATTAAGGAAAACTTTTCTGTTAGCGAACCCTTTATTAAATATTTCGAATATCACCACTGTTTATAATTGTAATGTCTGAAAATCATTATCGTCATTCTGATATCTGAAATAGTGATGAAAATAATGGTCATCGTAAAGAGAGATGCCTCTTCTGTCATTAGTTTCAAGAGAATGATTAAAATAATATATAGTTGGTGTAATAGGGTGAGAGGGAAATATCTTGGGGAGTGATAGTATAGGTTTAAAAATTTTTACATAACTTTTTCATTAATGCTTATTAAAAAAACTACAGTAGAGCATTGATTATCCGAATCAATTGGGGACTGGGGTTGCTTGGAAAATCAATTTTTCGGATAACCAATTATGTATGAAAAAATATATTAACCTATCCCATGTTGAAATTTGTTCAAATCCTGGCATGTCCTTAAGTACCCTTTCATGGTCACGCTAGAGTTGCCAACTAAAACACACACACCAACAAAAATAATATTGGAATAGCCCAAGACATAGCCAAAGATTGCAGCGCCACAGCACTAGCAAAAATTTAAATTTGCCAACTAGAAAGCTTTTGGTTAATTGACATTTTGGTTGATTGACATTTGGATAATCGATGCTCTACTGTACTACAAAAATAAACAGTTTACCTTTATAGTAGAGAGTTTAATTTTAAATCCAAAATACTGTTTCATAAAGTTAAACAATTTTAAGACAAACTTACTTTAGGAACCATTGGAGTAGGTCGTTTACTCTTACTGTCAGGATTAAACATATACAGTTCAGCTAAATCCGCAGAATTAAAGTGACGTTCAATTTGTTGTTCATCTACAACTCGACAAGACAATGACTGTTTTGTAACTTGACGGTCATAGATTTTTTCTTCCATTGTTCCCTACAAAATATAAATAAGGCTCATTTAAATCATGCATAAAAAAAAGGACACATTTATCATTAGCCATTTTTATAGCTGTTAATTAGTTAACAAATTTTAGGAATTTTTTTAAACATTTAATAATTGTAATCTTTTTAAGTATTTTAAATGCTTGATGTATATAATTTCATTTTGATATTAATTAATATTGACAAATTATTATAATAATGAATTACATATTTAATTTTTTCTAATTATGATAAATATATTTAATCATAATTAATTATATTGCTCAAAATTAAAAATTTAATATGTTTGAAGAATTAATCACAACCAGATAACTAATATAGAATTTATAAAAATTCAAAAAATAAATGATTTATTTAGATATTTTCTTTGTAAATTTGTACATTTTGAATATATCAACTTAATAATAAATTTTTTTTGTTTATTTAATTACTGGTAAACCAAGGTTAATTTATGACACTTTTTACAGTTTTTTAAACATTAATTACCAGATTATTGGACCAAATATGTCATTAATAGTCATTTTAGGAAAATTTGACATTCCTCTTTCTTTACACACAAAGTTCTTTCTTTTTAATTTACTGTTTTAAACAATATTGTTAGAAAAGTTTGTCACAATTTTACCACGTCACTTGGAGTAACTTTGTGACAGCCTGTTTGCTACAGCTCCATGTCACAAAGTTATCACATGGCAATTACTAGTAAGAAAGAAGAGAGGGGAAACAAAAATCATTCATTAGAAATATTCATTTTTATTAATTATTACAAAACAAACAATTTTTAATCCTTCAATAAACTCAAAATCTTATTTTTTTTTTATCATCATCAGAAACATAAGGAAAAAAATATTGGTCAATTTTGGAAATTCAAGAGGATGTAATGAGCATTCCAAAAAAGATCTTTTATGAAGACATACATAAATTACTAGAGCATGCAAAAATTTGTGTATATCTTGGAAAAGTATATTTTGAATTGAATCAGTTTTGCCAAAAACTTTTTTACATAAATGCAATCACCAAACTCAGCAATGCACCTTTTATATTAATTAATTAATAAGGATAATACTAATTTTAATAAATTTCTGGTATGCATAATATTTATTTGATATAAATTTTTAATAATTAAAAAATTATCTATAAATTTATAAAATTAAATCATAATTAATAAAGAAATTAAAAAGTTACCTGAGCCAATAATCTATAAATATAGACAGGTTTTTTCTGACCGAATCTATAAACCCTGAATATAGCTTGAATATCGTGACTGGGATTCCAAGAAGCATCCATAATGATTACACGATTTGCACCTATCAAATTTGTCCCTAAACCACCTGCTTTCTTTGATATCATAAACAATCTAGCTCTGAAATAAAAAAAATGTAATTTTTTTTATAACTCAAAACAGTTAGTTTATTTACAGATAAATTTTTTATTTAAGACTTTTAAAATTCCTTTTTTTACATAAAAAATAAATAAGCTTAAAAAAAGAAAATAATAATAAATTCTTGACAAGTCAAACTTCCTTAACTTAAATTTTATTTTTGTCCTGACATAAATCTTATAGACTCAATACATTCTGTATTGATGTAAGTCAAGTGTTTTGAGATCACAATTAACTCAAAATTTAAGATCTAGACTCTTTATTTTGTGTGTAGTTTTGTGTGCTTTCTTTTGCATTTTCAAGGGAATGAACAATATTATCACAATGTTAAAGATCAGTATTGAATAGAATTTCATTCTAATTGCACAATAAAATTTAAAATTTTAACATTTCATGTGTAACATTAATCAAATCTTAGCACTTTAAAAATTCTTTACTTTTTTAAATTTTTAGATTTTGAAATTTAAAAATGTAACAATTCCAAAATAAACTAATATATCTGTGATTTAACAACTTACTGAGTTATTGGCCAATAAAATTTGATTTATTATTTGAAACTAAACATTTATACTGTATAAATTTCACTGTAAAGTATGAATATGATGATAACATTTTCATTGCTGGTAATGACAAAGTTAATCAGTGTATTAACCATTTTCACTTACCCCATGCTAACTTTTGGAACTTAACCCTATGTTTTACACTAGTCCTTTGTTTTGTATAGCATGGATCTGCATAACATGGTGCTTTCTTGAAATGTAACTACCATGTTACACAAGAGATACCTGTATTTTCATGAAATTTGATATGTTTTATGTGATCCGACATTGCTGCATACCAGGGCTGTGGAGTTGGAGTTGGGAGGAATTTCTGGCCAGAGGAGTTGGAGTCGGGGAAAATGTGTTGACCGCAGTTCCGACATTTTAAATTTAATTTAGTTATTTTTTATTTAAATGAAAGAAAATTTATTTTATATTTATTAATTTTTTGAAATGTTTTCGTATTTTGTTATAATTCATTTATTTTAAATACAAAATGCAACAATTTCATTTATTAAATATGTAGTTTTCTTTGTAGTATTTGTGTTTAATAGTTAAATTGTTTTGACTTAACCCTTTCCTGTCAAGTTTGATTTTACTTAACAATCAAGAGGGTACCGATTTGTCAACACCCTAGTAAAAATCATTTTTATAAAATTTATCGACAACAGATGTCAGAACTTGACAGCAGTGTCTTGTATATCATCTGTTTCACATATTTTTGTCCAGGTGGTGGTTTGTTGACTTAAAAAATTTTAATTAATGCTTTTTTTTTCTTAATTTATTTTTTCCTGATAATTTTTTATTTCATTTTTAGCATATTCATGCAATAATATTACAATAATAAGTTTATTCAGCTGTAATAAGTTAATGTGTTATAAATATTCAAGTTGTGACCTTCAAGTTATGACATTTTATATTTTAGATTAATATAAAAAATATATCAGCAAATGCTACATTTATTACTACTGGTAATCATATGCTTATTACAAAAATTTATATTCTTGTTCGATATGAAGTGAATAAAGTATATTAGTTCATTATTTTAGTTGATAGCAGAATAAAGTTTTGACTTCAAACAAATGTTTGATAATTTCACAATGAATGAACATACATGCATAAATGTTATATAGAGTTGTACAAAACAATACTCTACGTCTTTCTGGCTCAGTGCCAGCAAAAAACTAGATAACAAGACAAGTTAATTTTGACAAAAAGTTACAAATTATCAAGTTTAAATCCCAGTTCTTAATTATATAATTTTTTTTTCTTATAAAATGTATTGAAAAATATCGTATTTAAAACTAAAGATATTAATACATGTATGTGATTTTTTTTCATATGAATATAATGATAATTTGATTTTTGGTGAATTTTTAAAATAATATTGCCTGACTGACCTTTATTGCCTTAGGACAGATTACAAAATAAATGTAAACAAGATGGCGGTGGTAAAGGGTTAATTGAATTTGAATCTTTTTGAATTATTCTTTATCATCATCATCATTAACCCTGGGCTCATTGACCATTGGTGTATGATGCTTTTTCCACTATTTTTTTCCATTTCTCTCTATCCACTGCTGATTTTCTCAATTCCTGTACATTTGCTCTACATCACTTCTTCATGTCATCAATCCATTCTCTATATGGTCTGCCTCTTTTGTTGGATCGATCCATAATACCATATACTGTCTTAATTTTTCTGTTTGGACACATCACAAGAATGAATGAAAACAGTTGAAGTTTTTGTTGTATAATTTTTTTGTAAGAGATTCTTTTTCACATATATCATATTATGAAGTTCTTCGTTTGTGAATTTCTGCATCCATCCTATTTGTAAGATCTTTCTGTAACAGTGTGTTTCAAATGCTAATATTTTTCTTTCCATATCTTTTGTTATAACCCATGTCTCACAGGCATACAGCACGCAGGAGAAGATGCAGGTGTTCAATACTTTTAATTCTGTCTTCAAACTAATTGCTTTACTTTTCCAGATTTTGTCCATTGCTTTCAAATTTGTTTTTGCCTTGGCTATTCTAATCTCTATTTCTTTTTTGCAATCCAGATTATAGGTTAGTTTGCTTCCTAAATATGTAAAGCTTTCTACATTTTCAATTTCTTTCCCATCTACTAGGATGTTTCTTGTCATGTTGATCTTAGCACTTTAAAAATTCTTTACTTTTTTAAATTTTTAGATTTTGAAATTTAAAAATGTAACAATTCCAAAATAAACTAATATATCTGTGATTTAACAACTTACTGAGTTATTGGCCAATAAAATTTGATTTATTATTTGAAACTAAACATTTATACTGTATAAATTTCACTGTAAAGTATGAATATGATGATAACATTTTCATTGCTGGTAATGACAAAGTTAATCAGTGTATTAACCATTTTCACTTACCCCATGCTAACTTTTGGAACTTAACCCTATGTTTTACACTAGTCCTTTGTTTTGTATAGCATGGATCTGCATAACATGGTGCTTTCTTGAAATGTAACTACCATGTTACACAAGAGATACCTGTATTTTCATGAAATTTGATATGTTTTATGTGATCCGACATTGCTGCATACCAGGGCTGTGGAGTTGGAGTTGGGAGGAATTTCTGGCCAGAGGAGTTGGAGTCGGGGAAAATGTGTTGACCGCAGTTCCGACATTTTAAATTTAATTTAGTTATTTTTTATTTAAATGAAAGAAAATTTATTTTATATTTATTAATTTTTTGAAATGTTTTCGTATTTTGTTATAATTCATTTATTTTAAATACAAAATGCAACAATTTCATTTATTAAATATGTAGTTTTCTTTGTAGTATTTGTGTTTAATAGTTAAATTGTTTTGACTTAACCCTTTCCTGTCAAGTTTGATTTTACTTAACAATCAAGAGGGTACCGATTTGTCAACACCCTAGTAAAAATCATTTTTATAAAATTTATCGACAACAGATGTCAGAACTTGACAGCAGTGTCTTGTATATCATCTGTTTCACATATTTTTGTCCAGGTGGTGGTTTGTTGACTTAAAAAATTTTAATTAATGCTTTTTTTTTCTTAATTTATTTTTTCCTGATAATTTTTTATTTCATTTTTAGCATATTCATGCAATAATATTACAATAATAAGTTTATTCAGCTGTAATAAGTTAATGTGTTATAAATATTCAAGTTGTGACCTTCAAGTTATGACATTTTATATTTTAGATTAATATAAAAAATATATCAGCAAATGCTACATTTATTACTACTGGTAATCATATGCTTATTACAAAAATTTATATTCTTGTTCGATATGAAGTGAATAAAGTATATTAGTTCATTATTTTAGTTGATAGCAGAATAAAGTTTTGACTTCAAACAAATGTTTGATATAATGTTTGATAATTTCACAATGAATGAACATACATGCATAAATGTTATATAGAGTTGTACAAAACAATACTCTACGTCTTTCTGGCTCAGTGCCAGCAAAAAACTAGATAACAAGACAAGTTAATTTTGACAAAAAGTTACAAATTATCAAGTTTAAATCCCAGTTCTTAATTATATAATTTTTTTTTCTTATAAAATGTATTGAAAAATATCGTATTTAAAACTAAAGATATTAATACATGTATGTGATTTTTTTTCATATGAATATAATGATAATTTGATTTTTGGTGAATTTTTAAAATAATATCGCCTGACTGACCTATATTGCCTTAGGAGGGAACACAAGATAAATGTAAACAAGATGGCAGAAGCAAAGGGTTAAATAAAATAAATTAAAGCTAATGAGCAATTATTTATTGTGACATTGTCACAATGCTGTATGTGATTTTTTTTCATATGAATATAATGATAATTTGATTTTTGGTGAATTTTTAAAATAATATTGCCTGACTGACCTTTATTGCCTTAGGACAGATTACAAAATAAATGTAAACAAGATGGCGGTGGTAAAGGGTTAATTGAATTTGAATCTTTTTGAATTATTCTTTATCATCATCATCATTAACCCTGGGCTCATTGACCATTGGTGTATGATGCTTTTTCCACTATTTTTTTCCATTTCTCTCTATCCACTGCTGATTTTCTCAATTCCTGTACATTTGCTCTACATCACTTCTTCATGTCATCAATCCATTCTCTATATGGTCTGCCTCTTTTGTTGGATCGATCCATAATACCATATACTGTCTTAATTTTTCTGTTTGGACACATCACAAGAATGAATGAAAACAGTTGAAGTTTTTGTTGTATAATTTTTTTGTAAGAGATTCTTTTTCACATATATCATATTATGAAGTTCTTCGTTTGTGAATTTCTGCATCCATCCTATTTGTAAGATCTTTCTGTAACAGTGTGTTTCAAATGCTAATATTTTTCTTTCCATATCTTTTGTTATAACCCATGTCTCACAGGCATACAGCACGCAGGAGAAGATGCAGGTGTTCAATACTTTTAATTCTGTCTTCAAACTAATTGCTTTACTTTTCCAGATTTTGTCCATTGCTTTCAAATTTGTTTTTGCCTTGGCTATTCTAATCTCTATTTCTTTTTTGCAATCCAGATTATAGGTTAGTTTGCTTCCTAAATATGTAAAGCTTTCTACATTTTCAATTTCTTTCCCATCTACTAGGATGTTTCTTGTCATGTTGTTATCACCAAATATAATTGTCTTAGTTTTTTTGCTATTGATAGTCAGTCTTTAAGCAACACCACACCTTACATTCTTTTCCCAGCAAAAATTTTTAATAAGACAAATGTTTACAGCCTCTGTAAGTAGCCTACATCAAATTTTTGCTGGAAAGGATACAGAAAGTGGGAAGTTGCTTATTACAAAAATCAATGTAATTTGCAATAATAATATCATGTAAGTTGTTAAAAAATTTTTAAATTTTCAGATTTCATACAAAACAAACAAAAATAAGAATTTGTAGTAAAGATAGTTGTCAACTTGATTTAGCAAGTTCCATGTCTAACATCATAAATTAAGGTGACAGACACGGAACTTGTAAATGAAGTTTTAATAGGGGCATAAAATAGTTTAGTGATGGAATAACGCATGTTTATGTTTTGAATTAAATTTTATTTTAGTTCTTACAGTCATAATGATAGCATACATGCCAACCATTCACCTTTTGAACAAAACAGTTCATCTTTCCCTTCTCTGTTTGCCTGTGGCCTGCCCTCCAGAAATATTTGCTTATCATTTCCAAGTGTTTTTAATAATTTCTGTGACTATACTTTCTTTTAATATTCCTTGGTTTTAAACGAGATCTAATTCCCGTCATAATTAAAAACTACACTACTGCCCAGTTGGTGATATAAACAAAAATTTTAACCTATAAAAACTACAGTAAAACCTGGTTAACATGTTTCTGCATGAGATGTTTTCTTGCCTAAGTTGTTCAAATTCTGTGGTTCTGCCATTTTGCCCATAAAACATGTATTAAAAATACCTGCATAAGATTGACAAGCATAAAAATAAGAAAATAATATTTATAAATACAATATTAGAATGGTATAAAATGTAAAAGTAAACTTATGGCCAAACTGATTTATGAGTGGTTTCTCAGAACAAATTAGAGTTGTAAATCAATGACTAAATGTATAATTCTAACTAAAGAAAAACTGAAAAAAGATCAGATAAAATAATTTATAAACTAAAAAGGAGATGATTATTATTTTCTTTTATTTTGGGTTTGATTCTTTCCTATCTACTTTCTTTTTTTTTTTCTTTTTAAGATTAGCATAACTATATTTAAAAAAAAAAAACAGTATCTAATATATAATTAAGAGTAACTTTGTATTTTTATTGATGGAAAATTACTTTAAAATTAACTGTTGTTTAGTCTAATCAAATAACAAATTATAACTTAAATAAATTGAAAATTAACTTGATAGTTGTCAAATAACTTAAAAATTGAATGTGTTAATTGATTTAATGACTAATAAGATAGAGATTTTAAAGCAAAAATTATAAGTGAGCTCTAATTACAATTGTCTGTCTTAAGCTACTTTATTTTAACCTAAAATTTATTAGTATTTTTAAAAGTAATCAATGTTAATTTAATATATGATACCTTGTATTTTCTTCATCATTAAAAATTTCAATCCAACGTTTTCTTAAATCAGCATTAGTAGAACCATCCATTCTAAAGTAATCAATTCCGTGAATCCAAGAACCATATACATCTTCAACTGTTTCAGTAGAATTTGCTGTTCTATTCTGAGTTATACTTGCTAACAAATCTTCAATCAAATCAAGTGTTAAAAGATTTTGACTGAATAACAATCTAAAGATTTGTAAAAAAAAATGAAGTTAATTAATAAAATGGCTTCTCAGGTAAAGTGCAGATACAATATTAAAAGAAAGATGATAAATTAGAAATTAATAAGATGTATTTTATTAGCTTCACTGTTGCCCAATTTTATTACTTGCTCTTTGCTTATATCATAATTTTTATTGATCGTTTAATGTTATATATATCATTGCTATTCAAATAGATTAGAAGATTCTTTATTTCACCATTCTATTTGCTTCAAGTAATCTTATCTAAGAATCTTTTTAATATTCATTTTCTGACATATTCATATACAATCTAATTCTATTGATCATTTTAAACTTCTTTTATATGATTCAAATTGTTCATTCATCATGTCAAATCAAATATCATATTTTATTCATATTTTTCACTATTGTATTGTTTAGTACTTCACTTTTTATTGTAAAACAGACCTTATTATAAAAATATCTATCATATCATATTTTATTTAAAACATTACATCCTTATAGTAATTAAAGTAAGCATATCATAAATTTAATTACTGATACATATTTTAGTACAATCTCTGTTTATACTTACACTTTATCACCAATAAGTTCACATTCTTTAAGAAGATCAAAAAATAAAACCATTTTGCCACTTAAATCAATTCTTGTTCCATCTTCCTCCTTAATATAGTTACTCCACCATTCTCTTTTTTCTTTTTTCTCATCTAAGTTTAAAAGTAATACAAAAATAGTTCTATAAATATAAATAACAGATAAAACACTAAAAGATAGCACATATACATAGACAGAGTAATCAAATGAAAGAACTCATAAGTAGCAGCATAAGAAGTTGGTTATGCCAAAAACCAGACTTGGCAATACCAAGTTGGCATGCAACAAGCATGACCAACTCACAGCATCAACTTGCAATATTACCAAATACATTGTGAATTCTACTTCCACTTGATCACCAAGTATAATAGAAATAAATCAATAAACTAAATTCATAACTTGAATTAAAATAGCAGACAGTATATTTNGTCGCTATCAGGAGTTCACCTCGTCCATCTTCACTTGAGACTCGGAATTTATAGTGTGAGGTGATGTCACAATTCTGAATGAGATCACTCTCCTCATTTACATACTTAACGCTAACAATCAACTTTTTTCGTTTCTCAGGCAACCTATTTACGACAATTACTCGTTAACCTTTTACATTATTCTTTTTCACAATTTTCGGGACGTTTTTATTCTTTAATGTTTAGCTAGTCCCTAATTCGTGCTTGTGGGGTCTCCCCCCTTTTCTCGGTGCGGACTTACTTTTTTCCGCTCGGGAAGCGCAAGTGTGCGCGAGTTTTTCTTCGGCACTTTTCTTTCGTCGGTGAGTTGGTTTTTCTTCTATTTTTAAGTTACTAAGGTGAATGGTGAGGAAACCTTCGTCCTAACAAAACATAAGCCCCAAACAAAAATAGAATAATAAGCAAAATAAAAGTAAATAAAAATAACGTTCGGACTTGGTTCCTTACATATAGGTCATAGCACCAATTCTAACTTGCAATATTGCCAAATACCTTGTGAATTCTACTTCCACTTGATCACCAAGTATAATAGAAATAAATCAATAAACTAAATTCATAACTTGAATTAAAATAGCAGACAGTATATTTCACAAGTTTAAACAAATATACAAAAAAAACTAAAATGTTTTCTAGCTTCTGTCCTATCTAATCATCACAAACAACAGTCTTCACTTTCCACATCCAACTTTTTATTGCAGGCTGCACCTCTGAACAATTATATAGAACAGTTAAAAGTTCACCGACGATAAGCCAATTCATTAAAAATAAAATATACATAATTTGAATTAAAATGGCACATGGTATATTTTATAATTTTAAACAAATATATAGAAGAAATCTGTATATATCATTCATGAACAGAAAATAATACAAAACTTTGAAGGTAAATTCTTGGACTAAATCCATTACATGAACATTATGCAAAAATAAGATTCAATATATCTGTGACAGCAATCAATCTATTAAAAATTTCTCTTCTTTATAAGCTCATTCAGCTATTATTCATTGTTCTAAAATAGCTGTATACAGATTTAATATTGTTTATAATGACAGAACAAACAACAAATAATATATTTGTAAATGAATTAAGAGTGTACCTCAACTCTGAATTGGCAAAACAAACAAGTGACAATGTTCTCTGACACTTGTTTGTTTTAGAAGATGTGCAAGATTTCAACACAGCTATTAAAATTTTAAATATGACAGCTACAGAAAACCAAACCCAAAAATGGCTGAAAGTTTCGGGATCCCGGGATCCCGGAATCCCGTTTCAGAAACCCTATATGAAAGCTACAGACAACCAAACCCAAAAATGGCTGAAAGTTTGAAAATTGATTTTATTTAATTAATAACTTTGAATTGATGAAATAATAGCATAATTTAAACAAAGAAACAATTCATAGTGTTAACGATGCTAGCGTAAGCACCCAATGTTGCTTGAGAACTGTAAATTGGGTGTTGTAATTGGATAAAATTTTATTATGGTTACATACTGTGTGTAATGCAAAATGCATATGGATATATATCTAATACAGTGGGTGATCAGTTAACGAACATAATCCGTTCCAAGACTTTGTTCGCTATCCGAATTGTTCGTTAACTGATTATCAATTTACCATAGGTTTTAATGGTAATTTAATTAATTTGTTCTGGAGACCCTCCAAAAATAAAAAAATATATATACTTTCTTACTACATTTATTTATATGTAATAATAAAATTACATACATACACAGTCTTGCATTTTTATTAGTCATGTTTTTTCCATTTGAAAGGGTTAAAGAATCTGTCTAATGTCGATTGCTTTTCTCTCTTTTTCAGGATTTTTCGTAAGTAATTAACAGCATTGCAATTGTAGAAATCCCTAAGCCTCAACCTGGTTTGGATGCCATTCTAAGACCATTGTTCTGACATCCTCCAACTTCTTCAAAGGATCTTTAATAAGAGATATCGGCATTAATTCTCGTTTTCAGAAGAAAACATATCTCGCCGAGTTTCTTGGTGTTCCTCATTCAAGAGTTCTTGGCGTTCTTCTGTCGTCAGATCCGTTTCAGATTCCATTATGAACTCTTTGATGTTCTTTATTTCTCAGATGTGATTTTTGTTACTCCTTTAGCTGCTTGAGTCTTCTTGATTATACAGTATTTCTCTTAAATAAGATTGAACTGCACCTACTGTAGACCTGTTCATGCCATACTTCCCAGCAACATTAGGCATCTTCTGCCCACTCTCTACCTTTGCTATTATACTCTCACCTTTCGAAAAGAAAAACAGATGCAAAACTTAAAGAGTGCCTACCCGACAGTCTCGCGAATACATAAAAGAATTGTTTTGTCAGAAAAATAAAAGGATGGAATTACAAGGGAGAGTTTCAAAGTTTGGAGGAATACTATCCGATCGGTATATACCAGCTTGAGCGTCAATGTTGACGTCTCCCACACTCCGAAAAGTTTCAAATTGTTGCCTGAAGACAAGGGAAGACCAATTGGTATTCGTTATTTTACATCGCTTCTTCTTGTGTTTGTTCTGTGGGATGTTCGTTATCCGAACATAAAAATCTTTTGCGAAAGTGTTCATTATCCAATCTGTTCGTTAACCGATCACCCACTGTACTATACCTCAATAACAATATATATGTTATAATATAGAAGATACACAGTATATATTTAACATTACTAAGAACTTTTAAACATAGATATACAGAGATGCAAACTTGAGAAAAGGGCCATCAGTAGCATAAGATCATATGTTATAATTGACAAGTGGGAGGGAGGTGGATGAAAAAGCAATTCCCCATCTATAATACCTCTCATTTCTGATGCAATGTCATCACTTGAATTTTAAAATATTCATAAACTATCTTAAGTTTATTCTAAGCCAGTGGTTCTCAACCTTTTTTGTTGATGTACCCCATTAGCTCATTAGTTGTTTCTCAAGTCCCCTTATATTTTTGTATGTAAATTTTATAATTACTGCGTTAGATGTATACAGCCCTAATAACTGAGCGCCATAAAAAAACTCTAACTAAATAACTATAATTAAAAGTGAATTACTTATTTTACATAAATAATAATAAATTTAATCAGGTACATACATTTATTTATTATTACTGTATTAGACCTGTGTATTATATAAAATCGCAGAAGTCATTTCAATACATGCATAAATTATTATAATTAACAATAAAGAAAATTTAAATTATTCTACAATAATTCCTAAGAAAATTTAATGGGATATTTGTTGCGATAAATCTTCAGCAAGTTTTTCAAAATTTGGTTCCCACGTTATTAAATAGAGATTATAATTGTATATTGACCTTAAAAGTAATGGCTGCGAATTTATAATGTGAAGAACAATACATGAATCTTTCAATTTTTGTAAAAAATGTAACGTCTAAATTTTTACTAAATATCAAGTAATGCGCATGCAGTGACACGTATTGCATGGTAAGGGTATGATCCAGGCCTCGTTATTCCTAATACCAGTAGTCCAATAAAACCAAGAAAAGCCCCAATCTTATCAAGCAATAATTATAGAATAGAAAAAAAAATTTTTTTCTATTCTATAATTAATGCTCGGTTAGACCGTAATTTACTAGACTACAGGTTCACTTGGCACTAATGGCAGAAGTAGACAGACAAATCAAGTGGATAAACAGGTTGTTTAGACTGTTAAAAGGGAAATCGGTGTTCACATTGGGATATTTTATAGCAAGTTTTTGTTGTTTCTTGTGTTAATAATTTACTGCAAATTGATTAACATACGCCATTTTATAATGAAAGTTAGATGTACCCCTTCGATTTACGCTCGTACCCCTAGGGGTACATGTACCCCCCCGGTTGAGAACCACTGTTCTAAGCTAATAAGTTTTAATATTTTCAAATATCATTTGAAACAAACTGTAAAATAATAATGTTACTCAGAGGTTTTCCAATTGTTAAAAAATTTTCATGATGATTCATGGATTTCCTGAGCCACCATTTCTATTTTTTTTTTCTTTTGTGATGGAAAAATATCCTTTAAAAAATTAAGACGTAGTCGCTTCCAAAAATTCTTGGGCGATCATCATATTTCTTTTAAATGTTCCTTAGTGTGAGATCCAGAATTTTTACCGATTATTTGCCGATTCATTGTCCCGTTTTTGCCTAAAAATTTAATCAAACTTTCCTTTAACTTACTAAAAGGAGAAAAGAAAAATGGCTATCGCCCCTTTCTATTCAAGGTAAACATCCGTTCATTTTGAAACTAATTCCACATTCCAACTGCTAAGTTAATAGTTAGCATGGTCCCGGGGACAACTCTGACCCATCTGCGTACCTTTTACCTCACAACAATCAATCACGTGACCATTCTCCCACGCCGATCTTATAAAAACCCCTTCCTTCCCCTTCTCGGGGGAGTCGTTCCAGAGCAGGTGCCAGGAGCCGATAACTTTAAAATTAGTGTCCTTTTTAAACAGTGAACTTTCCTACATCAACGATTTAAATTTTTAACCAGTGAACTTTCCTAAATCTAAGAGTGGAGAATTTTCCTCAGTGGATAGATCAAGAGGTATGGAACCAATTATTGTAAGCTCTCTCTCGGTCTCTCCGCGTTTTAGGGACGCGAACTAGACGTTGTATTACCCAAAACTTGTTTTAATAAATTGTTAATTTTTCTTATGTTACATCTGGCCTCCTCATTTACTCGTATATCGCCTGATGTCTCACCGACGCACTCCTCCCTCCACCACTTGACCCGAAACATTAAAGCCCGTTACTGCGGGGAAAAGAATCCTTCCACCCATCCTGACAGTGAAAAGGTTTAACAACCTGTTGCTGGATCGGGAGACCTACCCCTCCCTTCCCGGTGGTTCACATTAGTAAAAACTTCAGACGACCCGACCTTCTTTTTTAGGCTACGTGGTCGTCCTGGAAAAAGTTCCTTAAAACATAGAAACAACCAATTAAAAAGTAATAATTTTTTTAAAATTGGATTTGATGATCTTACGACGTCTTGCTTATTTCAACCTTCTCCGTTCGGGAGTTTCTTTATATCTACTGGAAATTTGCACTGTTTAATGTAGATTATCTTCTATCCTCCCTCTGGCGGCGAATTATTATTAAATTTTAAGTTTTAAATTTTCACTGGATGATAAAATTTTCTTTAAAAAATTAAGACGTAGGTGCTTCCAAAAATTCTAAAAATTTAATAATAATTCACAGCCAGAGGGAGGATAGAAGATATTCTACATTAAACAGCGCAAATTTCCAGTAGATATAAAGAAACTCCTGAATGGAGAAGGATGAAATAAGCAAGACGTCATAAGATCATCAAATCCAATTTTAAAAAAATTATTACTTTTTAATTGGTTGTTTTATGTTTTAAGAAACTTTTTCCAGGACGGCCACGTAGCCTAAAAAGGAAGGTCAGGTCGTCTGAAGTTTTTACTAAGGAACATTTAAAAGAAATATGATCATCACCCAAAATTTTTTAAAAGCGACTATGTCTTAATTTTTTAAAGAAAATGTTATCATCCAGCGAAAATTTAAAACAAAAAAAAAAAAAAAAAAAAAAAAAAAATATGTCATGATAACTTTAAGCTACATATTTTATGTATAAAACAAATATAATTAAATTTATAAAATTAATCTAAAGTAATTAAATATATAAATAGAAAACAATCTATTCTATTGTAAAGTTCTTACCATTTTGAATACAGTAATACCTCGACTTATGCGAACCCAGAGTTACGTGATTTTCAAATCTCGTCGATTCATCTTTTGTTTGAGCGCCACACAACTCTTGATTACTCACTCCCCCATAATATTGTTCAGCTTACATGTTCGGACGTGTCGCGCGGAATCGACACACAGCTCCAATTTATTTTGTGTTATTTATTTCTGTGTTTGTTATATCTATGGAGACTTGAGAGACTCTGTGGTGATTTCTTGTAACCGTGAATGAATCAAAAGACGAGATAAGATTAACGAGAGCATTTATTAGCTTACATACATCTGACGTGGATTTTACACATATTGCGAAATTATACCCCGACTTATGCGAATTCGACTTACGTGGTTATCACTCGGTCCCACCTATCGCGTAAGATCGGGGTATTACTGTATTTATTTATGAATCAATTATTTTATAACAGATTTTTAAAATAAATTTAAATTTCTCATTCAATAGAATAAAATTCATATAAATAATGGAATTCAAAACTTTGTCTATGCCATTCACACACTACACAGTCTTTTTCATTTGGGCTTTTCCAGTGTATGCAATCATGATGTCAGGAAAGTATATGTCATTTTCAGATGTACGAGTCACTTTTTGACAGGTTTTAGCATAACTGTGCAACTTTGGTCATGCAAAGAAACCATTCTGAGACAGATCCTTAGCTGCTTGCAAATTGGAAGCACTCACTGTCTGTGGTCCGTACATTCCACGTTATTGGTATGAATTGCTGTTTGGTTTGAGATTCAGCACACTAGCAATTCTCAATGAACAAAGCACTAGCTGGCATCTGTATGTGTTGTTGCATTAGCATACTTATTAAAGAGTATAAAAGATTGCTCCATAATTTTTACAGAGTTATCTGCAAGTCTGTAATTTATACACGAGTTTCCTAGAAACTATAGAAAATTTGTAGTAGTTGGCATCTCTGCATACATATACTAACAATACATGCACTTAAAATTAGTGTTTTATGTTTAATTCCTTGACTGTAATCTGACATAATACTTGTCATTACATTTACACTACAGAATAGTAATAATAGTAATAAAAATCAACCTCTACTTTTAGATTTTGATGATTTTTCATTATCTTCATTTCCTGAATTATCTTCACTTGAATTACCAGATTTCCTATAAAATAAAATCATATATTATAATTTCATAAATTACAATAATAATTTATTTCACTTTTCTTATATATGTACAAACAAAATTTATATATAAACAATATCGTAGATAATTTAATAAAATGCTTTTTGTCTACATCTAAAATTATTATGTTAGACAAAAGTTTTCTAAAGATATTCATCATCTAAGCATGACAGATCTAAAAACACAATATCAACTTTAGCCAAATATATCTAACAATTATCCGTAAGATAAAATATGAGAGAGGTCGGACTTGGAAAGGGGAAACCCCACAATTTTATTCGGGAATTTTTTTGAAAGAAAATTCATTTTTTGTTTTGAAAAGGAAATTTATTTAAATCTCAGAAAAAAGAAACTTTTTTGATTTTATTACCAGAGGGTGAGTGCATTTCTCTTCCCGGAGTCGTTTCCTTTCCCAAAGACTCAGAATGTATCACTGGGAACAACAACTAAAAATTTAGTATTGGTGGAAAACGACAACGTGACTTGGAAACAAAGAGGAGATCTCAAGGAACAGTGAGAGAGGTTGAGAGTCCGTGAGAGTATTCCCTGTGTGCCAGCTGAAAGAATTTATCATCATCGCTCGTCGCCATGGACCCCTCCTGAATATTTAGTGTTTCTCTGGGAACACCTACGAAGAACTAACAGATCTCAACATTCGATAGATTTTAACTCCCATCCAAGGCAACAGAGACATTCCTAGGCTCCCCAACGATTCCACAGACATCTGGAAATCCGTACATAGTGCTTCAGGTATTTGTAACGACCCGCGATGTTATGTAAGCTCTCTCTCTTCAACTCGGTTCTCGCGAAGAAGCTTTAGGGTAAATACTCTTTTGTAGGACTACTTTAATAAACGAATTTTGTTATTGTTAGAATTGTGTTAGGCACACTTCCTCAAACAGTCTCCATCCTGAGTCCAACCGCCCACAGATGCAACTGCTCGCGCGTAGATGCGAATGTAACGGTCTCTGTGTCTACCCAGAAGACACAGTGGTGTCAGTCCTGATAAATTAAGCATTGTAGTCTCCGCCAACACAATGTCGACCCTTCGGTCCTGTGGTGCCGAAGCATAGAGGGGGCCCTTTGGCATAGTCACAAATACTTGATAGTATAGTTGATCTATGTAAAGTCTATTTTCCTTGAAAGGTCACCAGAAAATCTTTGAAATTCATTAAATAGCACATTTCAAAAATCTAATTTATCATCATACAATTTTAAATTTGCAAAAATTAATCTGCTATACACATTCTTTTCAATTAAATAAGACATATGAAATGCAGAATGTATTGAGTGGAATACTAAACAATATGTTACTTTTAGCTATAGAATTTTCAAATTTCCAATTTTTCTTACTGGAGTATCATATTTGGAATAAACAATACAGAAGCATGTTTCTAAATTTAAGTTTTGAATTTTGACAAATTTATTCACTGGTAATCTAAATTTGTTTATTTCTCATTAAATTACGAATTATTTATAATTTAATTTTTGTCATTAATTAAAGTTAAGAATCGAATACATTTAGATTGCTACATTTAGCTGTTCAAAGTGTCAATCTTGAAATCCAGGAATTACAATTCAAGTTAAAATAATGGAATAAAAGACACCATTCCTGATCAAGCAATTCTGACAGCCATTCAAGACTCATATTTAATTAATCTGTGCTTAATTTTGTGTAAATGAATAATTTGTAAAGACACTGTAATGACTGTCACTCATCCCCTACTGGATGCAGTGAGCAAGTTATCATGTTCTAATATCAAGATTAAAAATTTTCAGTTTTGAGATTAATCAAGCAATAATTGATAAGCCAAAATTGTAAAACATATCTCAAAAATATATAATGTAGGTTAACAGTTTAATAAAAATCATATGCAGTTTTTACAGGATTGCATGCATAAAACAGCAATTTTCTGTTGTTTTTTCATGCATAATTATGTTGCATATAATTGCCATTCTTCAAATTTGACAATTCTGAAAAATCCTGTAATGTGTCTTCTCTGCAGGTGCCAAATTTCAGCATTGTAAGTTTAAACAAAGCATGATGTTGAGCTTATTAGATATTATTTAATTTTCAGAACAATGTCCTTGACAGGAAAGTTTGAAGAGCTCCCTATGAAAAGCCTTCAGACTTTTCATAACATGGACTAATGTGAAACAAGTTCAGCTGAAAACAAATGACAACCAGGCAGAGGTGTTTCTCAGAAGAACTAGAAAATGATATTTTGGGGATGAAATAAACCTTAAGTTGATGAAGGTCATAGCGAGACAAGTGTTCCAAGTGATTTGCAGACAATGTATATATTTCATAGACCGTTCACAAAATGTAGATATTGGTTGATTATTGGCTAAATCTTAATTATTGGTATTGGTCAATAACGTAAAATTACTGACTGATAGTGATAAAACTAGCTAACAAAACATATTAAAAAAAAAAAAAAAAATTAAATGCTCACTATAACACTGAAAATAATTTGACAATAAATAAATAAACTAAAATATTGAAATTTTGACAATCATCATTCAATACAAAAAATTTTGTCATAAAAATCATTAAATATGTATATGTATAAAAATGATATAATTGTAACAGTTCTATGAAGATATATGCAAATTAGTAATGATTTTGTCAATTTCTTAATAGTGTAAATTTATCAAATCTCGGCAGCATTTAAACTTTTAACTTAATCTATAATTTACTTTTTGTTTTAATCATGCAATTTATAACTTAATTCTAAAGATCAATAGTTTTTATAAATATTGTTACAGTTTTAATTATTTTTTTTATTATGTTTTAAATTAAACAAAATTAACATACAATTTAAAAATAATTTGACTAGCTAACAAAATCAAAATACAATTTTGTCAAACAAATAGGTTAGAAAATCTTTTAAAAACTTCAGTTAACAACCAATAATTTAATGTTGTGATAGAGTAAAATATATTGCCATAAAAGATAGTTTTTCTCTTCTCATATAGATTAAATGTATCTAATACATTAAAAAGTTTCATAAAAGCTCTTGAAAATAAGTTTGATAATAAATACTCACTCTTGTTTTTTGCTAGTACTGTGTTTGGAATCATCTAAACAAACAATTTCATCAGCTTCAACTTCAGCTTCAATATCAGATAAAGAACGATCATTTATAATAAATGAAACACCCGACTCAGAGTCACTTGAGTCTACCTAATAGAGTAATTATTATAAATGAATAAAACATATTTAAATCTAAAAATCTATATAAATAAAAACATAATTTCGTTTGTTCCTAATAGCTAATCTCCAAAAGTTCTTCTTCACCAATTGCTTTGAAATTTTCACACAATGTTCCATTCGAATACGGGCATGTTTTTATATAATATATATGTCGAAATTCCCTCTCCCGCGAGTTAATAATTAAAAAAGTTATTTTTTAATGAAATCTCATAACAGATGGTGCCATACACAATTTTAACTTTATACTAGCATGTCTTAGTTTTTCTTAAACAAATATTTTTTGCCTAGAAAATTATGAAATATTTAGCTATAAAAGTTTAAACATTAATTAAATTGTATTTACAATTCCATATTTTTTTGCTGACTATTGCCATATAGTTCAAGAGACATTTCTGAGAATGAAAGTTCAGTTTGAGACATTAAACTTAAAGGACTTACTTGAAAGAAAACACTGTCTTAACGACATTTTCTCACAATCCAACTATGTGGTAAATGTGGGGATACTACCACATACATTTTAATCAGAAAAATATTAGAATTATTTTTAAAGGTAATATTTTCAAAGGTAATTTGATGTTTAAAGAGGAATTAATCTATATAAATAAAAATATAATGTTCGTTTTTTCAAAATCTTAAATCTCCGAAAGTTCTTCACTGATTGCTTTGAAATTTTGACACAACATTGCATTCAAATTCATGTGTGTTTTTATATAATTTAGATGTTGAACTTCCCCCCATGGGAGAGAGGGATAGGATTGATTAAGGCTTACTGTGAAGAACTTGGTTTCTATTATACTATTTAAAATGCAATTTTTTGCATTTTTGATTGTGTTTAAATAGGGTACGTCAAGAGAATGTACACTAAGAAGGGATTTTTCAAAATTCCCCCATGAGGGAAGTGTTATCCATTTATAATAGATACATTTTGAACCACAGCAATGCATGGATGGGTCTGGTAGTATTTATAATAAATACTTTTCAACAAATTAGTGAAATATAGCAATTACAAAAAAATAATAAACACTATTTTAACTCAAAATCCATTTCATCTAACAAGCACTGTTATAAATAATGGATTAATTTCATTGTTATCTTGCTATATTACATTAATGAGCAAAATTAGCCTATACTTTGTATTAATAATAAGGTCTTAAACAGATCTGTTTGAAAAATGTGCAAAGTAAAACAAATTTCTTTTTTTGTATACAATGATACTTTCATCTTTACTACAAAATTTTTTTCAACCAAGCATTTCAAAACAACAAATGAAAAATAGAAAAAAAATTCAACATATATCCAGGAAAATTTATATAATTTTATTTTATTTATCTATAACAAATTAGTGCATATCTTGAAAATATAAAACTCCTAGTTTTGATAGACTAAAATAAATTCCATCTTAAATGTTTGGTTTTTTTTCTGTTTTTAGCTTTGTCTATCCATCTGATGGATAGAAGTTAAAAATAATTATATTAAATTAAAAATAATTCAAACTTACCAAAAATCTCCTGTTTGATTTTCTTATACAATCTATATGTAAAGTATAAGGATGTGTACAGATGAGTTGAAGAACACAACAATCTCGAAACAATTGAGTTCCTAATGTACCACTTCTGACTCTTGCCAAATTTGCTAAAAAATGTTTATAAAGCTTCACTTGAACATCAGATAATTTTAATGAAATGACATATTCATGACGAGGAGGTAATACACTAGTAAGTGAATTATAATCACATCTCTGTAAAAAAAAAACATAATTCACAATGTAACTGATACTGTGTATGTTAAAAAAATCTCTCTGAAAACATTTAAGACAGTACTATACTTTAAATATATGTTATATATAAATACATAAAAAGACTAACATATATTTCACGGAAATTTAAAAAATGACTAATAAAAGATTTTACAGGTACTGAATAACTTCTAAATCATTTCCTTAATTTCAGATCTGATTGTGCTGTTAGACTCAGCATTAAAATAATATGCTAAATATGAGTTACCATTTGAAATTTTAATGTTTTAACCATTTTACCTTTTACAAATTAAAAGTTAAATTATCAAAATAGTTCAAGAGAACGGCAATTTGAGATCTATTGATAAACCCCAGTTTTTAAATTTCTGTACCTTCTAAAATACCGCCTTTCTGGGACACAGTTATAATAATAAATTTTTATATTAAATTTGATAAATTATTAGGTTAACATGAAAGTTTACAAGACTTTGTATTATAACAACAAAACAAATAAATACACTGCTGAAGTTAAGGATATCAAAAACATTACTTAATAATATTTTTGACAATCATTTCAGTCATCATCAGCTAAAAGAACAATACAATAAATGGAATAGAATTTTAATCTATGTTCTATTCCGTTTTTTTTCCAGGTGATATTTTTTGGTATCCTTGACTTTAATCATTATTAGGTTAACTTTAAATAAACTAATAAATTTTCCAGATTTTTATGAGAAAGTTTTAAATTATTAAGTGAAGCATAAAAAAAATTTTACCTAAAGATCAGTAGTGAGGTTGTCATCTTTAAAAACGTTAATAATTATAATTTATGATTTTGATGTTTCTATATTTTTTACATTTAATAACTACATTAATTAACTTATCAATATTTATTTATTGATGTTTTCCAATTATTTTTTTATAACCACATTTTAAAAAATATTACCTGTACACAACCGTCTAATAATTTATGAAGAATATGTACTCTCTTCTTCATTAATTTCACATCATGAGGTGTTGAATCAGCACATTGACCATTACTAATAGGATTTACAAATCTATTCAAAAATTCTTTTCTCGTGCCAAGTAAATGTGGCTTCACAAACTGTACCATGCAATGATCTGAAAAAATGTAAATTGTAACATTGTAAAAAACTGAACAATTAGTATCTACTGGAAATAACCAAAATATCAAAAAGCCAATTTTCATTACAGGACAGTAATTTTACAAATGTAAATAATAATGTATGATTAACTTTTTTGGCATATACAAAGTAATTTTCAAAAAATATAATATTGTTTATGAATTAATTCTGAACTGAAATCATTACTGACAGGAAATAAATTTTAAATGTTGGGAAACCTCATTAAATCATTTATCTTTTTTTTACATTAAGATCACTGGCCAATTGGAAAATATACTAAACTTGCAGTTCTGAGAAAATAGATGACTGGGTAATGACAGAAGACAGATTATGTGACACAACGATAAAAAATGTAATTTCCAACATTTTTAAACTTATTAGAACAACAATATCTTTAGCAGTGATATCAAAAATAACAGGAAGATAACATGTAATAAACTTAAGCTTAATAAACTGGGTTATTTTTTGGACTATAATAAAAATTATTAATCAAATTTATCTAATTTAGTCTTAATTAAAGTTAATTAATGTTTATATTTGCTTATATTATTATATATATAAGACAGCTAATCACAAAGACTCAGTATAAAACTTTCTTCACGTACCAATAAAAGACAATAGGCATATTTGACAGATATCGGTAGATAACAGGTCAATTAATTCACCTCATATTGTGTTACTGTACTCCATATTTTTCTTTCATTATTATTTAATAAAAATAAAGCTAAGATCTCAATACAATATTTCATTAAAATATTTGTCTTTCATTCTCACTCAGTATAATGCATTATTTTCATTACAAAATATATAGATACTTTGGAAGATAAATAATTATCTATAGTTTTCAGTAGAGAAATTCATTTGTTTCTTTGTCTTTGATATTAAATAAAAATTAGATGTCTGGAAGAAATAGAACAAACAGCACATACCATGATGAAATAAATGTAACTAACAAAATAGTGCAGAATCCACTAATATTCAACAAAATTCACATTATTGTAATAAAATGCACATTTTCTACATTTTTTATATTTCACTCTTTAATTTTCCAATTGTATTGTATCTTCTGTTTTGCATTCTGTTGTAGTTAAACCTGATGATGACATTTTAAAAATGTTGAAAACATTCATTTTATTACAGTAAAGTATATTTTGTTGGATTTTAATGGTTTCTGTAATGTTATTTTGTATTATATCCTGTTCTAAGTTAATTATGTAACTAACTTTGAGTGTTATAATTTGCAGAACTACAAGATATGAAAACAACCCAGAGATTTGAACTTAGTTTTCAAAAATCATGTAAGTACATTACTAGTTTTGCCATCCTTAATCTGAAATTATAATTTCAAAATTATTTGCATTTTTAATATCTATATTTCTTACATCCTTTAACTTTATTTATTATTTAATAATAATGAGAAACTTACATTCAGACAAGTTATTTTGAAGGGGTGTCCCTGTTAAAACAACTCTTCTTCTTGTTTTTATTCTGTCTGTTGCTTTAGAAACTGCACTGGATTCATTTTTCAAGATATGTCCTTCATCACAAATAACCAGATCTGGACCTATAAAAAATTAAATTTGATTAATAAAGAATTTAGTAAAAACTAATATTTCAAAAAATAAAATAAAATTTAAAGAAATTAAATTTCAACATAAAAAAATGATTTATTTACTTTTTATATTGTTATTTATAGATTAAATAAATTTAAAAATGATAACTTACTAATAATTCAAGTTTTTACATTTTATTTAATATATATTATATACTTATTAATCAAATTTTTCAATCACATTAAATTAATTCTAGATATTAAAATTTTATATCTTTTTATATTTGAAATCCATATTGATAACACATTTCCAATAGTTGATTAAAATTCTTAATCATGTTAACAAAATTTAATTTCACCTACATTTGAACAGAAGGTAAATTAATTGATTTACCATCAGAATTAAAATTTCTATTGTAATTTTAGTAATGAAAAAAAAAGTTATTCTAAGTCAAGTTCTATCTGAACTACAATTAACATATTAAAATAATAATATAAAATTCAGTTTACTGACATTAACACTTCAAAAATTTTTTGAAAAATTAATACTTAATATTACATTTTAAAACTCAAATTTTTATGAATAACTCAAAAATTTAATTAGTTAAAACTTGGTGAAGCAGTGTGAAAATGGCCAAATAAATGCATAAAAAATGATAATTTATACATCAAATGTGAGTAAGCACAAACATATACAGTAAATGTGTAAAAATTTTATATTGTATTAAAATCAGATATTACTTAAGAACAAGTGTGATTAATAGTATATTTAAAAGCTATAAATATCTACATGTGTTACATATATTTCTTTTCTATGTTAATCGTTTTATTATAACTAACTGAATTTTTTATTATTTGAATAAAAATAAATTTTTTTCTTTCAAGCCATAGAATAGCAAAATTTAAAATAATTCAATTAATTTATCAAACAACAATCTATTATAACAACAGTATTCTCTTGATAAAGAATTATTACACACCTATTGTAAAAATCTACATCTGTTGTCTATAGCTAAAAGTGATTTATACTTAACAATTTCCAATTCCAATTCCCCTTTATTTGTAATATGGCAACTGCCTGTTACAATGAGAGATACATTTACTTATGTAATGTAACATATTACAATAATATTTTCCTTCTAAGTGTTTACAAAAGTTTTAATGTAATTATATTAATTAATTATACACCGAGTTGTTGCTCCATGGAATATATAGTACATTTCATTCACCGATCCGCACTCACTTAAGCTTAACAAATCAAATTTTCTCCTTAAATCATAACTCTTTTCACTTGGCAAATCAAATGGTACTTTGAAAATTCCATACTGCATCTAGGACAAATAACAAGTTCTATATATATGCTGATAATTTAACATTATTATTTCTGTGTTAAGACGTAGTTGAATGAAAAACTGTTTTATTGGTAAATTTGATAGCATATAATTATTAATATTTGGATAGTCCAATAATGAGCTATACCAGTTTGGTATTAAACGTGAACGGATATCCTCTACGTCACGTGTTAATAAGATATCTAATATACTATGCATTAGTTGACTACACAAATCTTCACTTACATCTGGCGAGAAAATAAACGGAACAATTGAGAACCCAAAACTATCGATCACTTTTGAAATTTGGGCTATCCAATTCCTTTTGGAATTCTTCTGTACAGATGTCTTATATAGCTGTTGTAACAGATTGAATGAAATATCTCCACTATCTCTTATCTTCATTAACAATATTGTGCTTCTCTTGATAAGTAATGCAGTGGGACTATATCTGCTTATTTCTAACCTTAAAGCACTCCCCGGAATTCTATACTCCAAACAAAACAATCTTCGAATAAATTTGTTCTGGATAATTTCCAGTTTTTGATAGTTAGCCATACACCATAATGGTGATGCGTAGCTCACTGAATTATATACAATTGAATTAAATAAGTTAAACTGTGTTTGGATATTTCTTAGATGTGTCTTAGCAAACAATTTCATTACACCATTAATCATTCTACAGGTATACCTCGACTTATGTCGTTTCGAGTTACGTCATTCCTGATTATACGTCGTTTGTCAAAAAAGGTATATGGAAAAATAAAAATCACGTTTAAGTCATTTTATTCGACTTTACATCTGTCCACCACAAATATTGAAGTCGTAATATCACTATAAAAGCATGTAAAGCATATAAAATCATATTAATTAAAATATATACTGTGCATTTACAAGTATGTACTGTATTTACAGTACATGCATTCGTAAATTTAGACTACTTTTTTCTGTACTATATTAAAAACTAAAATTTGTTTTTAAGCTTAAAATAGATCCTTATTAACCATATATTATTAAAAATGCATTAATAAATAAAATACCAGGAATGGTAATTTATGGTTTAGCCTAGTGACAAGTAGATTTGGAGACAAGTAAATTTGACTTACGTCGCCTCTCCCGGAACCAATTACCGACGTAAGGCGAGGTATACCTGTATTAGCTTTAATCATCATTATCTTGGTATGTCTGTCAAAGGACAATAAAGGTGTTAAAATTATTCCCAGAAACTTAATTTCATTAACCAGTTTTAATTCAATGTTGTTAATGTAGAAAGTCATAATTTTCCTGGGGAGTTTAGCCCCATTTCTAAATATCATTATATTTGATTTTTTTGGGTTTATCTTTATTCTCAATTGTTCAAAATATTTGGTTATTGCATGAATTTTTCTATTAAGAGCTACTGCTGTGGGCGCAATAATAATTATGTCATCTGCATAAGAAACAGAGTGAACCACAGTGTTGCCTATCATGAATCCATCTTCTTCTTTGTCAAAATAATTATTAATGTCAAAAGTAAAAAAGTTAAACAAATGTGGAGACCACGGGTCTCCCTGTAACAATCCTCAGTCTATCAAGTAGGGATGACCTTGTTCATCATTGTGTCTAATAATTGCATCATAATGGTTGAATAATAAGCCAGTTAATTTTATCATTGAATTATATGCACGAAATTGAGACATTTTGTTTTGTAAGGCTCTTATACTGATTGAATCATACGCCTTCTCTAGGTCCAAAAATAATGCATATACTTTATGTTTTTTCCTTTCGAGTTGAATCTGGATTACAGCCAGTAATATAAATAGTGTTAGTTGAGTTTCACCTTTTTTAACAAAGGCAAATTGCGTAGGATTCCTCAAATTCTCATGGTCTAGCCATTTATTAAATCTTCTAGCCAAAATCGAAGTAAAGAGCTTACGGAACGTCGATAGTAATGCAATCGAGCAGTAGTTTTCTGGATTCAATTTATCTCCTTTTTTGAATATCATTTGAAATATTACCTGATTCCATGTAATCGGAATAATTCCTTTATTATAGAAACTATTATATAAACTAATGATATATTCTAGAATTGGGATTGTTAAATTTTTAATCACTTTATTAGAGAGTCCATCGCTTCCTGGTGCAGATTTGATTTTAAGCTTCTTAATATAAAACTGTAACTCTTGAACACTAAAGATCTCTTCCATAGGTAATTCAACCTCTTTTAGTTCTTCCATTTTTGTGCTTTCCATCTTATCCTTATACTTAATTGAAAAACTATCAAAGTAACTATGCCATTTAGCAAATGGCACAATGACAGGTCTCTCTGTACAACTGATCGACGGAATTTATTGATTATTTCCCAGAATTTTTTGGTGTCTTTAGTTCTTATCAGATTATTATTTAATTCAGCAAAATATCTTCTCTTTTTGGCTTCAATCAAATTTTTGTAGATTCTTTTATATTCAACATATTTCTTCCAATCCACCTCTCGATTTGTTTTCCTAAAATGAGCCAAACTTCTTTGTTCCTTTTTCTTATGATAAAAGCATTTATTATTATACCAACATTGTTTATAAGTCTGTGGGAAATTTCCTGACCAGTAGTTAACTCGACAAGTCTCTAAAAGACTGATAAGGTTTTCATAATTATCTGTCAGATAATTATGAAACATAACATCTCATTAACCTTACCCATTATCTTCTAATAGGCACCATACATTAAATCTTTTACTTTTCCTTTTGTCAGTTCTGAATTGTTTTTGTGAAACCGAACTTGAAGTGAATGTATTAAGTAATAGAGATAATTGAATTGGGAAATGATCAGACTGATCCTTATCAACCACCTTCATTTTGTTACAGCAATGTATCATATCTTCATTACATAGTACATAATCAATGACTTATTTACCTATATAACTCACAAATGTAAATTCGGCAAATATGTCTCCTGCCATTCTACCATTTAGTATAATCCAGCTATTTTCATGAACAAACCTCAATAGTAATTCTCCAGTAGTATTATTCATCTTATCCTTAGAACTTCTTATATTAGCAATATCTAATCTATCACCTTCATAGATTATATCCATCTTTTCTCCAATATGACCATTGAAATCTCCTCCATTATCCATAAGTCTATAAAATTATTCCACTGGTTAATCATCTTCTGAACTTCTTCAAAGTATTTACTAACATTTGAAGCTGGGGTAATATATATTAGTATAACTCCCAAAGTTGTGGCTCCCCACGTTTTTTGGAGTTCAGAGTTTAGTTCTATCCAAAGAAAAATAATTCAAGACTCCACCCGAGCTTGAACCACATGTCCCAACAATCTCTTAATTAATAATAATAATCCACCTGCCGGTCTACCAAACTTCTGTGTCTTTTGTGCAGCACTATGTAACATCCAACACTCATCCTCTAGATTCAAATTCTCTAATTTATTCATATTGGTCAACCATTTTTCAGTGATTCCTACAATATCATAGAACAACAAACATTGCTTTATAGAATGATCATACATTTTTTTACCAGGCCTTGGATATTCCAGAAACCCATATACACGTTTATAAATTTATTCTTCGATCCAGGTTCAAAAGAAGAATGGGCTACCAAATCAGGCTTATTATTATAAAAGGCTGTAAAATCATTGTATATAGTACAGTCAACCCCCCTATAATTACGATTCCTATAAAACTGCAAAAAAATTGCGACGGTATCCGGTAAAAAACTCCTNGTAACAGGACCTTCAATATCATGTACACATTTAGGTCACTTTCTGCCATATTTTATTCATACATGTTGAGTTGACTTTCCAAAACAACAAGAATGCTTGCTTGGAACTTGTATGAATAAAGTTCTCAAGATACTATACAATAACCACTATTCTTTGAAAGGCATGTTACATTTTTGCAGCATCTTGTTAAATTTACTAATGACTAATGATTGTAAAAGATAATATTTGGTATCATAAATTTAAATTTTACCACAGATTATCTTTACCTTTACTAAATTTGGTAAATATCCTAAAGTATGGTTCACAACAGTAATAAACTCTTTCATAATTATTTACATTACAAAAATGATTTTCTGCTGGATATAAATAATCCATATATCAGTTAACCAGTTGTGTTGTTGTGTGAACTGATATACAGATTATTTCTTTGTTTTTCTTTTAAATTCAAATTACTAGTAAATTTGTTTTAACTATTGCTTTACTTTCAATATTTCTGAATGATAGATGAACAATGATTTTAGTTTTAGTTTTGAAGTATTTTCACCAAAAGAAGAAGTAAAACTGTCCTTAGCAAGTTTAAATCCAAGAATTTGTTTAACTTAAAAAATAAAATTTCCTGAAAGAATCTTTCAATAAATAGGATTATGATTTCAAAATTTTGAAAAAAAAATAAAAAACAAGCAATTATTTATTGTGACACATCACAATGCTGGGATGCAATTTTTAATCTTATTTTTAATTTATTTAATTTAAAATATATGCTCTCCACCTTCAAATCAGCAGTGTCTTGCCTTTGTATATCATACTTAACAACAGAGCCATGACAGTCATCTATCTTACTCCATTCAGGGGAAAATTTTTCAATTGAAGTAACATCACTTCCAGTTTGCATCAGAAGTTTTATATAGTTAATTGGGACCTTGTGCCCCTAATCTTCCTATAACTAGTCTTGGCTTTCATCCATCTGACTGTTCTTGATATAAAAGAAAGACAGACAGATGGATGACAGTGGAAATTTATAGGTCTACGATTTTTTTCAAAATGCAGCCCAATTACTAAAATATTTTCAAACAAATGAATATCAAAATATTGCAAACCAAAAGGTACTGTATTATTATACACTGAATTATAAACAATTAAATCTAATAAATGTATTTTCATTAAAAAATTCCCTAATGATAACATTTAAAAATTTAAAAAACATGCTATATTTCTTGTATTTAAAAACTTTGAAATTCAAGTACACAAATAAGGATAGAGAAAAAATTTCGTCTTTTGCAACTCTCAGAAAATCATTCTTATATGTATTTTTTTTAAAATCAACTTTGTATTTTCCATCTAGCAATTATTTCATTTTTAGGAGTAAAAAAATATTCAATTACAAAATTTCAGTCTTAAGTGTTTTAAATAATTTCTTGGAATATCTTTCATTCAATAAACTTGAGAAATAAAGAACAGAAAAAATAAACTGTTACTAACCAGGATCTAACAGTGTGTATGTAAATATAGTTTTTAACTTTTTAGGTATTCTTTTGCTATTTTCTTGAACAAGAAGACGAAACATATCGTAACTCATTATCATGACACCTCCTTTTTCTTTCCATTCTTCCAAACAACTAGCTCTGCGATAATTGTCTTTAACACTTGCTAATTCAAAAACCTATAAAAATTAGAATATATATAATACTTATCATTTCATTTTATCTAATATTAACACATTCACTGCTGCACAATATGCCAAGTATATCATAAATTATCTTCCTAATAAGCTAATGATACATATTTCATAAAAAATATATGAATGTTAAATTCTTTGTTTTTGATTCAATTCTTTTCTTTCCAGAGAATATTTTCAACATTTTATTATACATGTGATTTTCATTATTTTTAATTTCTTACTTCTGGTATTTTCAGATAATTTATAATTTTCTTATTAACATGCTATTAGAATTATAGAGTAAATTAAAGTTGCATTTTCATTCAATATGTTAATAATTTAGTTCAATTTTATTCAACTTAACTAATAATTTACTGTTTAAAACCTCTCATTATATGTACCCTTTAATTCATGAATGAAGTAGAATTCTTTAAAACTGAAAGTACTGCAATATTTTTATAACTGTTATCTCCCAGCATTTATTTAGAAGTGAGCTTAAATGATGCAATGTCTAAGAAATAATCTTAAAGAATAAATCTGGTTGTAGGAATGAGTAGTTCTTTGAAGATATAACTAGAAAATTAATTTATTTTGTTTTTATTCAAAAGCACATTCTGAAAAAAAATGAAATAAATCTTATATAAATGTATAGAATTAAAAGAAATCAGTGCAAATATTTTATCATATAGAATAATTATAAATAATTTTTTAAAATGAAAATTAAAAAAATAAATGGTTAAACTATCCCAAGATGCCATATAAACCTAACAATAACATGCCATGTTTATCATTGATATATTGGAGCAGTTATAATCTAGAAGTAAGAAATTACATGAAATGAAAATCAAAAATTTTGCTCAAATGTCATTAGCATATCATTAAGCAAACACATTGAANATAAATTTTTGTCCAAAAATTTATCGTTTAATTTAAACAGATGATTTTATAATTATATTAAAATTCTTCTATAAAAGCATATTGACTTTGTTTAATTACAATAATTACAATAGATCATTGTTTAATATCAGAGTTATGTTCCTGCAAATTTCAGCATGTATCAAATTGATGTAAATAAAAAGCAAATTACAACATATTTCAATGGGATTCACATTTCAGGTACAGAAAAATTCAGAATCTCTTTCATAAAATAAAATTAAAAATTTATATGCATTGTATACATTAAACATAAATGCAGATCATATTTGTTCTATGATAAAATAAAAAAACAGACATTACTGATGGAAAGAACTGTCATTAAGGTTAAATGGATCGTTTTCTGCTATCTTTGAATCAATTGAAAATTCTTCAGATTTCTCTTAAAAATATGATAAGGGTAATCATCATCTTTCTTATTTTAAGAAAAAAATCTGAAACTTTTCTAAGTGATTCAAAAATGGCAAAGTTCATCAGCTCTGAGCCCACTAGTGGCTGAGTGGATAAAATCATTGAACACTAGTTGTTGCTTCTTTCTCAACAAAATTAGGGCATAATGCAATTTATGACTAATACAAATATATAACAGATGAATTTTCTTCAAGAAAATTATCTGATATGAAATACAATAAAAAAAAAGGCCTTAAAAGTTTACATTTTATTTAAATTATGTACATATGGCAACTTCCCAAAAGCAAGCACAAGATACCTAACATTAAAAACAATAAAACAAAAGCATCTCTAGTAGATGTACAATCCTTGTGGAAACTGTTATAACCTAGCTTTAGCACCTAATATTGATATCCTTACCTACTACTTATAATGCATTATCCCCTAATTTTGTTGAGCAGTTTAGTGATGCACTATATTGACTTCTCTTCTATTAAAACAATTCTATTCACAGTCAAGATCAATGTCACCTAATCTGTGCAGTCATCTATTAATCTTAGAATTTCTTGCAGACAAGTTTCTATAGACTGTAAAACAAGTTCTTGTTCTTGCTGCTGTTACTATTTCTGAGTCAATTGTGCAACCAAATCTTTCAGTTCCTCATTTGTGAAAAGTTGAGAATAAGTTCTGCAATAATTCAATCACATTATCAGGCACAATTTTTTTCAAGTTTCAGCTCCTAAGCAGTTGTGCAACTTCATTTGAATTTCATCAAATTCCCTGGGTCGTGTTACAAGCTTTACAAGTTAAATTTATGAGCAAAATAGATTGAACAAAAAGTTTTGTAACATGTTAAATGCTACAAGTTTTTACAATCAACTACTTGTAAGCAATTTTGATTGCATAACATTACTTAGACAGCTGTTCTATTTTAGTTGCATGCTAGTATTGTGGCACAACTGCTTGAGAAAGTACTTGCCAAGCTGTTTGCAGTGTGCAAGTAGTTGTGCAATAAAAACATGCATAAGATAAACATGGCTTTATAATCAGTAACAAACTGCAAGTACTTGCTACAAGCATTATAAGTATTGCAGTTTGTAACTAATAGTTGATTACTTGTAATTTTTATAATTTTTATGTAACAGGACCTTCAATATCATGTACACATTTAGGTCACTTTCTGCCATATTTTATTCATACATGTTGAGTTGACTTTCCAAAACAACAAGAATGCTTGCTTGGAACTTGTATGAATAAAGTTCTCAAGATACTATACAATAACCACTATTCTTTGAAAGGCATGTTACATTTTTGCAGCATCTTGTTAAATTTACTAATGACTAATGATTGTAAAAGATAATATTTGGTATCATAAATTTAAATTTTACCACAGATTATCTTTACCTTTACTAAATTTGGTAAATATCCTAAAGTATGGTTCACAACAGTAATAAACTCTTTCATAATTATTTACATTACAAAAATGATTTTCTGCTGGATATAAATAATCCATATATCAGTTAACCAGTTGTGTTGTTGTGTGAACTGATATACAGATTATTTCTTTGTTTTTCTTTTAAATTCAAATTACTAGTAAATTTGTTTTAACTATTGCTTTACTTTCAATATTTCTGAATGATAGATGAACAATGATTTTAGTTTTAGTTTTGAAGTATTTTCACCAAAAGAAGAAGTAAAACTGTCCTTAGCAAGTTTAAATCCAAGAATTTGTTTAACTTAAAAAATAAAATTTCCTGAAAGAATCTTTCAATAAATAGGATTATGATTTCAAAATTTTGAAAAAAAAATAAAAAACAAGCAATTATTTATTGTGACACATCACAATGCTGGGATGCAATTTTTAATCTTATTTTTAATTTATTTAATTTAAAATATATGCTCTCCACCTTCAAATCAGCAGTGTCTTGCCTTTGTATATCATACTTAACAACAGAGCCATGACAGTCATCTATCTTACTCCATTCAGGGGAAAATTTTTCAATTGAAGTAACATCACTTCCAGTTTGCATCAGAAGTTTTATATAGTTAATTGGGACCTTGTGCCCCTAATCTTCCTATAACTAGTCTTGGCTTTCATCCATCTGACTGTTCTTGATATAAAAGAAAGACAGACAGATGGATGACAGTGGAAATTTATAGGTCTACGATTTTTTTCAAAATGCAGCCCAATTACTAAAATATTTTCAAACAAATGAATATCAAAATATTGCAAACCAAAAGGTACTGTATTATTATACACTGAATTATAAACAATTAAATCTAATAAATGTATTTTCATTAAAAAATTCCCTAATGATAACATTTAAAAATTTAAAAAACATGCTATATTTCTTGTATTTAAAAACTTTGAAATTCAAGTACACAAATAAGGATAGAGAAAAAATTTCGTCTTTTGCAACTCTCAGAAAATCATTCTTATATGTATTTTTTTTAAAATCAACTTTGTATTTTCCATCTAGCAATTATTTCATTTTTAGGAGTAAAAAAATATTCAATTACAAAATTTCAGTCTTAAGTGTTTTAAATATTTTCTTGGAATATCTTTCATTCAATAAACTTGAGAAATAAAGAACAGAAAAAATAAACTGTTACTAACCAGGATCTAACAGTGTGTATGTAAATATAGTTTTTAACTTTTTAGGTATTCTTTTGTTATTTTCTTGAACAAGAAGACGAAACATATCGTAACTCATTATCATGACACCTCCTTTTTCTTTCCATTCTTCCAAACAACTAGCTCTGCAATAATTGTCTTTAATACTTGCTAATTCAAAAACCTATAAAAATTAGAATATATATAATACTTATCATTTCACTTTATCTAATATTAACACATTGACTGCTGCACAATATGCCAAGTATATCATAAATTATCTTCCTAATAAGCTAATGATACATATTTCATAAAAAATATATGAATGTTAAATTCTTTGTTTTTGATTCAATTCTTTTCTTTCCAGAGAATATTTTCAACATTTTATTATACATGTGATTTTCATTATTTTTAATTTCTTACTTCTGGTATTTTCAGATAATTTATAATTTTCTTATTAACATGCTATTAGAATTATAGAGTAAATTAAAGTTGCATTTTCATTCAATATGTTAATAATTTAGTTCAATTTTATTCAACTTAACTAATAATTTACTGTTTAAAACCTCTCATTATATGTACCCTTTAATTCATGAATGAAGTAGAATTCTTTAAAACTGAAAGTACTGCAATATTTTTATAACTGTTATCTCCCAGCATTTATTTAGAAGTGAGCTTAAATGATGCAATGTCTAAGAAATAATCTTAAAGAATAAATCTGGTTGTAGGAATGAGTAGTTCTTTGAAGATATAACTAGAAAATTAATTTATTTTGTTTTTATTCAAAAGCACATTCTGAAAAAAAATGAAATAAATCTTATATAAATGTATAGAATTAAAAGAAATCAGTGCAAATATTTTATCATATAGAATAATTATAAATAATTTTTTAAAATGAAAATTAAAAAAATAAATGGTTAAACTATCCCAAGATGCCATATAAACCTAACAATAACATGCCATGTTTATCATTGATATATTGGAGCAGTTATAATCTAGAAGTAAGAAATTACATGAAATGAAAATCAAAAATTTTGCTCAAATGTCATTAGCATATCATTAAGCA